CCCCCCCCCGCGAGGACCAGCCCCACGTTCCCCACCCGTGGACAGGGCGGAGTGAGTTTGGTTCAAGCCAGGGCTCATCTCCAGCCCATTATTTCGTTTGTTTCCTCCCCTCTCCACTGCATTTGTTTGTTTGTAACGTTTTGGGCTTGTTTAGTGTTGGGGTTTTTTTCCCTTCTTCACAAGAATAATAATTTAAAAATCGGGGTTCATCTGCAAACTCCATTCATCCCCGGGGGCTGAGCACTACGGGGTAAAGCAAAACGGGGGGTGGGCGGGGAGAGCAGACCCCCTGTGCACATTTAGGATGCCTCGTTCCCAAAATACAAGCGTCCTGCCTCTTGCAAACACCTTCACCCCGCCACCGGTGACAAACCAGCAGGAGGATGAACCCCCCTCTGCCCCTGCCCAGCTTCTCCAACCCCCCCCCAAGAACCAAGCCAGTCTCATCAGCTATGTTTTCTCTTTATTGTTTGATATATTTATGTACCACATTATATGTTAAAGATAGACTTTTTTTTTGTTGTGTTTTTTTTTCCTGATATACATTTTTCATCTTATTTACCACAATGACACCACACGTACATTGGAAACAGCTCCACGGATCTGGTAGATTGCACAGAATGAATTGTGTCGGAGTTTTGTTCCTGTATCCTGAACGACGTCAAATCCAACAATATATTCATTGATTATAGTTTATATTTATTTTGTTTGATTTTTTTTTTTTTAACTTGTCATCATTTCGAAATAACGACCGCGAAAACAAAACGAAACGAAAGTCACCGAGAAGTGGATTCCAGGTCTGCTGCTTCAACCAGAGGCAAGACATTGTCATGGATGGGAAGTGCCATTCCTCAGTGTGGATTGGGATGGAAGAATTAAGCAGTCCCGACATCTATGTCACTATGGTGTAAACATTGCAGGTAACTGGCGTGGCTGGTCATCAGCTGCTGCTGGGACTCGTTGGGCTGGTTGTACAATCTAGGTCTCACCTACATCCAGCTCATACAGGGTGAAACCAAGGTCCCTGCTCCCAGCACCCGTGGCTGGTTTGCTTCCATCTGTGAGAGCAGCAACCCAGTCCCGTGGGGTCGGCACCTTGTGTTTCAGCTCCTGAAACACTGAATTGCATATCTGTGAGGAGTGTTGAAGACTGCAACTGTTTCCCAACAGGTCATTCATGGGGGGGCCAAGCTTCAGGCAACGAGTGAGGAGATAAGGATGGGGCACCAGATCATTTCCTTCCAAAAATCCTAAATAACCAAAAAATAGAGATTTAAATCTTAGCTTATTTAAAAAGACAGCAGGGTGAACACTTTCATCTCTTCTTCTTTCCTGTAATTTGCAGATTCTATGATATAGAATTTGTTGGATGCACGTAACGAAAATAATGACTCTTTCCATTAAAGGGATGCAGAATTATTTGGCTATGCAGATGTTCAGTGTGATTCTCTGGCTCCTCCTTAGTCTTCAGCGTTGGTTCTGAAGGCCTCGATGAGGCCTTCTAAAGAGTGGATGAACCCAGAGACACTGCAGATACCACCTATAACAAAAATGGCAACATCAAAGAAGACATGGTGCCACAAGAGCTTCCTCCACAAGAGTTTGAGGTGGAAAAGACTGGGGAGCAGGAAACAGAGCCCTGCGCCTGTGAGGCTCCCAGTAAGACCCATCAGGAGGGCAAAGTGTGGGACATAGATAGCCATGAGCAGGGTGAAAACTACCAGGGCACATCTGAGGGTGAGTCCCCAGGATTTGAGGCGCCCATCACCCCCGTAGCAGTTGGGGAAGAATGCCCTGTTTCCATCTTGGAAAAGGGACCTCTCCAGGACTTCCACAGCTGCAAAGAATGGCAAGGGATAGGAGAGCAAGGCTTTGGCCACCAAGAAAATGTTGACTACTGCCCTAATGGTGGATGGCAGGTTGTCTGTAATGACTTCCTTGGTGTCATCAGCCCAGGTCAGATAGGCCACCAAGGCAAAGAGTCCCTTAAGGATGCAAGCTGCTATGTGAGTCCAGTTCATCATGCAATGAAACTCCTTGGGGTTCTGCATGTTCCCCTCCAAGGAAGGCAGAAAGATCTGGGAGGTGTAGCTGAAGACGATGATGCCAATGGAGATGGGAAACTTCTTCACATCGATGTAAAATTTGACTTTGTCCCAGGCCCAGTCACGTGCCCTGGAGAGGCAGTAGGCGATGACCAAGATGTTGATGACAAAGTGGGCTAACGTGCAGAGCAAGCTGAACTTGGACACTGCCTTCAGGTTCTTCAGGAACGCGCAAGGCAGGAGCACTGCCGTGGCAATGATGGACCACGACTTCTGGGAGACGGGCAGGTTGGGGAAGCTGTTGTACATCAGGTTCCCACTGACCACCACATAGAGGATGCAGGTCATGACCAGTTCAATGATCTGAGCCACGTTGACAATTCTGCCCCCCAGCGTGGGGAAGCGGGGGGCGCAGCACGCGTTGGCGATGTCCACGTAGGAGTCTCTCACCCTGACTATCTCCCCATCCTCGTTCTCTTCATAAAGACAGGCAATAAGGATTTTCCCAGTGTAGCAGCAAACCACTGCGGCGAAAATTATTAAAAAGAGTCCTAGGTATCCACCGTGAAGGATGGCATAGGGCAGGCCCAGAACAAACATCCCCTAGAAAGAGACAAAATGGAAACCGTGTTGCTCGTCTCGGGGCGGGGTTGGGGGG